TATTAATGAGCAGAGTTCCAGGTACCTGCTGGCCATTGGTATAACTACTTTATGAAGCATCGCCTCAACTATATTTGGGTAGAGTATAGATATTTGGCATATATTTTCTCCCACTCTGTGGCTTGTTTTCCATGATGGTAATTTTTTTAAACAGATGTTTTTATTTTGATAAAGTTCATTTTATCAAATTTTTATCTTATGGCTTTGTATTTTGTGTACTATCTAAGGAATCTTTGCCTGCTCAAGGTCACAATGATCCTATCCCATTTTCTTCTCCAGACGCTTTATGATTTCAGCTTTTACATTTATTTCCATGATTCATTTTGACTTAATTCTTTGTGTATCTTATTAGGTAAGTGTCGGAATTCATCCATTTCCCTATAATAACTAGCACCTGAACTAACTTGGCATCTTCATCCAAAATTATTTGGCCACATATAGGCAGGTCCATTTTAGGATTCCATATTCATTCCATTGATCTCTATATGTCTTCTTATAACAATGCTACACTATCTTGAACACTTCAACTTAATAGTAAATCAAAGAATCAGATTGTAATTCCTCCGGTTTTAACCTTCTACAAAATTGTGTTGAATTTGCTTGTTTATGAGTTGGTCTTTGAATAGGTAATATATGCACACAAAGAGATTTTCAATGAGAAATAAGCCTTCCTGCCGCCCTTGATTCCTCAGCTCCCAATTCTCCTCCCGAGAAGAAGCCACTTTTAGAAGTTTCTCATTTTTTTCTTCTTCAGAGATTACAACTGAATTCTACAAAATTGAGTCAGACTTTAAAGGCATATTATTTACATGCACTTTTAGAAAAGAAAAACAATGCCATGATATTATTTTCCATATCAATTCAAATTTCCAGTAAGTATGCTTGTTTCGAGCGAGGCCAATCAATATTTAGGAAGATTCAGCTTTGCTAATCATGCACTTAATTTTATCCCACAAGAAAGAGGAGCAGGGACATTTCTGTGAATCACCCAGTCACCTTAATTCTGTTAGAGTTGTTTAAATATGCTGCTTATTTTTAGTTTAATTGCAGCCTAATTATATAACACCAAGTAATCAGAGCTTGGTGATACTAACAAATTGATCCACAAGACAGACTCAGAAGCCTAGTTAGGAATCATCCAAGAACATGACTCAGAGGTCACCCACCTCAAAGATCAAGATGTTGCAAAGCTACAAGTGCAGATAGAATTCAATTCAATTCACAAGTCCTTGTCAGTTATCGTACAATATGAATTCTTGTACTGGATAATGTGAGAGACTACAAAGAAAAAACCCTTCTAGTGCCCTCTAGGAATTCACAATCTAGACAGGCATGAACATCCCTGATCCCATTGAAAGTTCTAGAACCGAGAAAAGTCTGTGGAAACTTGAGTCTTGGAGGGATGCACATTCTGGAAATTAGAAGATGATTCTATTTAACATTTTATTGAATTCAAACCAGTCATCAGTTCAAAGCTCTGTAGACTTGCATTTCATTTTTATTAAGAGGAATTATATTTGCTCTCTAAATAAGGTCAGTGGTTCTTCAGAATATAGACAAATCAAAAAGAAGCCTTTGGGAGAGGCATGGGGGTAGGAAGGAAAGTAGAATGAATGGAAATTATTACCCTATGTGCATATATGATTACATAACCCATGTAATTCTACATCATGTACAACCAGAAGAATGAAAATTTATACTCCATTTATATATAATGTGTCAAGATGCACTCTACTGTCATGCATACCTAATTTGAACAAATTTCTTTTAAAAGGCGTTGTTAGAAACTGGAAATCTACTTTTTTGTTTAATTCCTGCTCCATTGATTGCTGTATTGATTATGTTTAATTACTCTCTGGAGAACACCAAGTAAAAGTCATAATATCTTTCCCCTCTGCCAAAATCAAAGTATTTGGTGCCTTGTTTTCCTTGGAGGAAAGGAGAAAAGTGGTAACTGCTGAGAAGTGAAGAGATAATAAATAGTCCTACTGGGGGAAATGGAGAGAGAATTCCAGGCTTCCTCCAAGACTTGGCATTTCCTCCGGATTCTTTGGAAATCATGAAGGCTTGACAGAAAAGGAATTGTATGTCAGAACCATGTGTCTGGTTCAGAAAAGAAGTAGCATTGTGGGTAGAATACGGAATTTATGGGCTTTCATCACCCAGAATTTCTTGTTTATATGACACTCAACGATAGATACGTGTGTAATGGAGTATTGTAAGTTAGGTGGAAGGTGCATTCCCTGTAGATAATAAGGTTGTTCCTGGAACAAGAAGAGAGAAGGATACACTTTATTAAACAAACTACCCTGAAGAAGTTCTTGAGAAATTATTTCATCAAAGTACATCTGTTTGTGTGTCTCTTGATGGTTTGATCAGTTACTAAATATTCCAGTAAGTATCCTGCAGATCTCAAAAGTCAGAGCTAACAAAATTTGAAGCCTGATTCATTATTTTATAGCTAAGCTCATAAAATATAATTTCAACTTGAATTTGGATTTTCTTTCAACTTGACTACACAAAAGACTAGTGATTTATCAGGATTAGAAAGCTAACATGAAAGGCAAAAATTATCTTCCTGGTCTTACCCTTGACTGGTCATTGTAGCTATATCAGTTAAGAATGATTTCAGCTGCAAGTAACATAAAACCCAACTAACAGTGGTTGAAAGAGAGATTTATTTTTCTCATGTCACAAAGGAGTCCAAATAGCATTGGTTCAGCTGTTCAGAAAAACCATCAAGAACCTGGACTGTCTTCTTCTACCATCACCAGCATTCTTAGCATGCTGACTTTTTCATCTTTACAGTTTCACTAGTCACAAAATGACTGCAGAAGCACCAGTCATCTTATCTACATACCAAGTAGAGAATAAAGGGAAACGTGGCACCAGATTAACTATCCCCATTATCAGGGAAAGCAAAAGTTTTCCCTAAAGCTAACAGAACTAACCCTCATGGGCTAGAATTGAGTTATATTGTCGCCATAGGCTGCAAAGGCAGCTGGGAAATTAGCTAATTCTCTATTGTAGAAGGCAGAAAGGAAAGAGAAGGCAGAGGGTAGCCATGAAGCTAACCACTCGCTGGCTCCCATCACAATATATAATTAAACTATGAAGCTTCTTTAGGCTTCGATTTTCACAACACCAAAAAGCAATATCGAAAGTCACTGCGACTGTAACTAAATCAAAATGAGGAGAGGTTCACAGATGCCTGAATGTGCAACCAACATTTTGGACCAATTAGCTCTGTCTCTGGCTTAGTTGGAAATTTCGCCCTTTCTGCATGGAAAGATAACCTGGTAAATCACAGCCCCGGGGGGCCTTGTTTGCTCTGCCGCTGGAAATCAGAAGCCTGAAATAATACAGTGCTGCACTGAGGGGGGAGTTTCCTCTCTTCAGCGCACCCCCCACCTCACTTCAAAGCCTCGGGTTTGGGGCTGCAAGCCTTTGAAGCCTTTTGGTCCCAAACTGAAACATCTCCCAGCAAAGTCTCTGATTTACACAGGTTCAAAAGTACGATGCGCTAGCGTGCATTCGGCATGGGAGGACAGTGCTCTTTTGAGTTTGCAAACTTCTAGAAGTGTGCTGTATCCATGTGGGGGTCGTGGTGGTGGTTATTTAATCTTGTGTTTTGGGAAATGACTCCAAAAGGCACCAAGTGCAATGGGATTCATTTTCCACTGTTCTGCACCTTTGGGACTCTCCAGTGAATAAACAGTCTTCGTAACAGGACTGCTGAGATAAGCGAACAATAGGTAGGACTGTAAAAGATAAGGTGTCGGTATACTTTCCATTTTTTTTAACCTAAAATGATAACCATGACTCTTTTGAGACTGTATGTTGAAGACCAGTGAGAAAAAGAATCTAACACAGACTCAGCCTTGACACAGAGTGAAAGCAGAGTGCTGTTCAGGGAGCAGCATCAAAACCTGAGGTTAGATAGAAAAATGGATAGATGATAGACAGACAGAGAGATGCACAGACAGAATGGGTGAAGGGAAAGAAAGAAGGGAAGGAAGGAAGAGAGAAAAGAAAAAGAAAAATAGAAAGGAAGAAAGAACTGAACTTGAATTTTGGTTTGGCAAGAAGACGAAACAAACGGTGAATATAGTTATTTGGTCTCTCTCAGGAAACTTAAGCTTTAAAATCCTGAAATGATGATCTTTTGGTACCATTTTTCCATTCCCCTCCAACTTTAGTAATATACCCTGGGCATAAAGGTATACTTTAAATCCTTCTGTATAGTCTTGTAAGATCTTTCCTGAGCCGTGTGACGTTACCCTGAGGTTGGTGGTAAGAGCAAAAAAAGACATGATCATTTTCCAAAAATCCAGTACAGTTCACAGGAGTTTGCTACAGCAGGAATGAACACTATACATCAGGAAATATAATGAAAATATAATTTCAACTTGGATTTGGATTTTCTTTCAACTTGAGTGGGTGCTGTAATGCACACCTGCAATCCCAGGGATTTGGGAGGCTGAGGCAGGAGGATAACAAGTTCAAGGCCAGCCTGAGCAACTTAGGAAGGCCCTGTCTCAGAATAACAAATGAAGAGGCTTAAGGATGTCACTCATTGGTGAAGTACCCTTGAATTCAACCCTCAGAATCACTCACACACACACACACACACACACACACACACACCAAAAAAAAAAGGACCATTATTTCCATTACAACTACTACTATATATAAACTTATGTATAAACATTGGTACATCTACAGGTGGTACTTTCCAGAATAAGATGTCTGAGATTTAATGACATCTGACAATGAAAGCACATTATTTTCTTGTGGGCTGTAATCATTGTAAAAGAAGAACTGTGATAATTCATAAACTTGATCAAAGATATTCAACTAAGACCATAAGACCATAAATGCCAACTTGACACAGCATTCTACCTTGCCAGAAACATGATATTCTGTTTAGTTTTTCATAGACCATCATCGGAGTTGAACCAATAATACCTGTATGATGGTGGGGCAGAAAACACACCAACCTGGAGCCAGAAAGCCATCCAAGTCTACCATGTTCCATTTGTTGCCTTGGGTCAATTATTCTGCTCTTTGTGCCTCAGTCTCTTCATCTGAAAAATGGAAAGGATAACATTCATACTCAAAGAATAATGGTCTTCCATGAAGTGACATACAAAAATGTACAAAATATCTGGCACACAGCAGATACTCAAATAAATGGAAGTTGTGTTTCCTACCCATGGTTGACGACATTGCTCATCTGCCTTAGAAAGAGCCCGTTTCCAGAGATTTATGACATGCCACAGGTATGGCCATTAGTGGTGGCCCTCCCTCTGCTCCCCTCAGTCCTCCAACAGTGACACCTTGTAAGCTCACTGGCCAGGGTTAGACATTTTAGGACTGCCACTAAGCTTACCTACCAATAGAGACCCAAAGAAAGTGAAGTACAACATGGCCAGGCGAACCCATTGTCTTCACAGCAATGAGAAGAGATTCTTCCTGTTTGGGTTCATCTACAGCTGGAAGCAGAATGGACTTCTTCCAAAGAGTTTCTACATATGGGTCTCCTTAGCACTCTACCTTAAACAAGGGTCAGGAAACAGCACTCTGCCAAACTGACTTTCGTAAATAAAGTTTTATCAGCACACAATCATATGAATGCATTTAGACAGTGTCTGCGGATGCTCCAACGCTCCACCAACCCAAGCGACGAGCTGCAACACAGACCATATGGCCTGCAAGCCTAGAATGTTTACTATCTGGCTGTTTATGGAAAAAGTCTGTTGAGCCCCAAACTACAACCACAGTGAGGTTTAGGTGCTGGATTTTTCTGTGCAGCACATTTCACAGCCCCAGCATTGACTTGGTATTATTTACATGTAAAATGGACACCAGTTGGTGACAGGAGGCTCATGGCCATCGAAGCTGACTGGAGTACAGAAGTAAGCAGAGTGAACGGCACAGTACCCAGGTATATAATGGGGGCTGCAACCGATACAAAGAACCCTAGAGTGAGAGAATTCACGATAGGCCAGAGTCTTGAGGAAAGGCTCTCCAGAGGAACTGGGAGAGGAATTAAAGTAGAGAGGAGGATAGAAAGAGCAATACAGAAGTGGGGGAAAAGGTTTCCAGGCAGGAAGAGGCAGAGCAGAAAGTCACACAAAAATAAGAAAGGGCACGACGATGACCAGTAAAGAGAGGAGCCCCACTGCAGGATGCCATGGCAGAGGGCACAGGGGTGGCAAAAATGGGTTCTGCAACTGACTGGGCGAAACTGGGAAGATCTGGGTCTGGAGAAGGTGTAGGTGACTCATCAAGAAAGAGCTAAGGCAGTTCCCCATGCACTGCCTCCACTGCATCATGGAAGGAATCAATCTTGGGAAAACAGAGATTAGAGATTAGAACCAGATCTGAGTTTTTCCCTATAATTCTAGCATGGTATAGAGACACTCTTATTTGAATAGAAATGGAGGGGAAGAGACAGATATGAGAGAATTTGTAAGCCAAAGCTTGGTGACTGCTCTTTATCATAGGTAATGGACTGGAAAGGGTCAAAGAAGATTCTAGAATTTCCTATTGGAGTACCTAATTCAATGGTGATACCATCAATAGAAAGGAAAAGCCCATTCCAGGCCTGTAGTCACAGCTGAGGCAGGAGGATCCCAGGTTAGAGGCCAGCCCAGGCAACTTAGTAACATCCTATCTCAAAAAACAAAAAAGGGCTGGGGGTGGAGCTCAGTGATAGGGCTCTTGGCTAGCAAGTACGAGGCCCTAGATTCAATCACCAGGTCCAATAACAAAAGAAGAGGGGACAAGTTAGAAGAATATATTTGAGGACAGAGATGTGGCTCAATGGCAGAGCACTTGCCTAGCATGTGCAAGGCCATGGGTTCAATCCCCAGCACGCAAATAAAAAGGAGGGGGAGATGCTACAAGGAAATATTTATGCACCCTTTTTTGCCCCTCCACTTTTTTACTGAGGTAAAAAGAAAAAGAAAAACATAATATAAAATTTACCATCTTAACCAATTTTAAGTGTACAGTTTATCAGTGAGTAAATTCACATTGTTGTGGAAAAGATTTCCAGAACACTTTCAACTTGCAAATCCAAAACTTTACACCCCTTAAATAATACCTCTCTTTCCCCTCTTGTCCCTAGCATGTATGCCCTTTTTAAATAAACTTGGCATTACAGAATTTAAGTAGAGTCAGGCACCACACAATGCTGTTTAGGCCAGAGATGGACCATGCATACCACAATGGTCCCAGAGTTTACATTGCCCAGTGACATAGTTATCTTAATTTGTGTAGATACACTCTGTCATGTTCACACGACAAAATCACCTAATGATGCATTCCCAGAACATATCCCTATTATTAAGTGATGCATGCCACTAATAAAAAATAATGAATTCAAAGATTTATTGCTTTATGGACCTCAAATCTCACACTTCTGAGATTTGCATATTAACATACATCATCTACTCTACACATGCAGTCACTCAACAGATGTTTGTTTGGTACCAGCTTGTAAGTGTAGGAGGAAAGGTTCAGTTTGAAAAGTAAGGGAGAGATAAATGAATGCAGAATGGGACACACCAGGTGGGAAGGGTGGGTAGCCATCAGGTGACAATACGGGTCTGAAGTTCAGGAGACAGATCTGGACTAAGGATACCAATGGTAGTGACCTAGGAAGTATAGCATCTATATGACTTCATTTAACCCCACAACCATCCTATGAGGAGTTGTTAGCCTCATTAAATAGCTAAGAAAACCAAAGCTTACTTAGTCACCCTCAGCTAATGGGCAAAATCCACTTCAGACACACACACACACACACACACACACACACAACTACATTTATTGGTATTTAAGCAGATTTATTTCAAAGGTACTAAATCAAAAAGTGGCATAACTTCATCTCCTGAATTTCACATGAGGAAAAAAAAAGAGGAGAATAAATGGGCAATTATGAAGGAGAAACAGCAGAGCTTGATGATAATAAAGAAACAAGCCACCCCAAATCCCAGCATCTGTGCACAGCTGTCCCCAGGTGCTGGACAGAGTGTCAGACATACAGTTAAAGGGACTTTCATGTCAGAATGGCACAGCAATCTGAACTGTGAACCAAAGCTTCATCCTGCCCCATCCTCATGTTCCGGAGGAGCTCAGGTAAGAATTCCTCACCTGGCTCCACCCAGTCCAGGCTTCAACCATCCCAAGCACATCCTGGAAGTCACAGGATCTGAAAAGCGTCCTCGACTCATGATGCTGGCCAGAGCTGCTGGAAGAGGCCTCATCGACAGCTTAGTGCTGACTCTCAGATGGCCTGACCTCCCAGCGCTGACCAAATGACCCAGACTGCAAGGCATCTCTCGGTCCGGTCATGCTAGCCATTCGATGAAAGTCAAAGAATGTGATGACTGTCCTCATCAGCAGGGCCTTTGCCACTGCCATCATGTTCCTAGATTCTTTGGATCTGTCTGTGTGAGCACACGGGCCAAGCCACAGCTGCTGCAAGTGCTATTCAGACACCATCTCAAAATCTGCCCCCTGGTCCAAGTCCCACAAGTTGAGATCGCTTGTTAAGCAAAGGTCACGTGTGTGCGGGTGAATTTTTCTGAATTTTTCTCTCCCTCACCTTCATCTTCATTTGCATCTGTTATTGCCCCAGCCTGCTACAGGATCCTTCCTGACAGCAGTAACCATTCAGCCCACAAGCCACTCTCCTGGGTGAGAAGACAGAGGTATGGCCAAAGACATGTCCAGGTACAGGATCTTCATTAGGAATGGTTGAAACATAAGTTAGTAGAGTGCAGACCGTGGCCCCTGCATTTGGGGAACTGGATTCTTGTTTCAGCTCATGAAGGTGAGCTCTAACCTGAGTTCCTGAATGACAAAGGTAACACCTACTAGTTACCCCTACCATCTGTCCCATTAGCCTTTTACGAATAAAAGCAGGATAAAATGGAAGTAGGGATGCAACTATGATTTCTCAAAGTCCAAAATGAAACAGTGTCACCAGTACAGATGAACGTGTCTGCCCCGTGTATTCCCTTCCAACTTTGCTTCCTTTTTTTATTATTTTTTATTTATATATGACAGCAGAATGCATTACAATTCTCATTACACAAATAGAGCACAATTTTTCATATCTCTGGTTGTATACAAAGTATATTCACATCAATTTGTGTCTTCATGCATACTTTGGATGATAATGACAATCACATTCCACCATCATTTCTAAGCCTATACCTCTTTCCTTCCCCTCCCACCTCTCTGCCCTATCTAGAGTTCGTCTGTTCCTCCCATGCTCCCCCTCCCTACCGAACTATGAATCAGATAACTACATTTTTTTAAAAATATTTTTTTAGTTGTAGATGGACACAATATCTTTATTTTTTTTTTTTTTTTGTTGTTAGGGTTTGACCCCGTTGCTTCCCTTTTGCAGGGCAGGCCTTTTGCCCTTGGGCCCCACCCCCGGCCCCTTGCTTCCTTTTTTTACGGATTTTTTTTTTTCCACTCCAAGCATCAGAACCTGGTTCTAATTGTCAGTACCTGAAGGGGGCCTTTCACCAAACGCCTTATGAAATTGACAATAAGATTTATTGAGATTGAGTTTATGTTCCCTAATGATGACTGTTTATTTTATTAGCTATTCTTAAGTAATAAAACCTGATCCTAGATTTTCTGACCCTTTAAAACTAGTAACAACCCTTAGCCAGTGTAAGCTATGACATAGCTCTCTCCTGGACCCATTTCTTATTTCTCTGTATCCTGAAAAGTCTCTACTCTAGGACACTGGCTTTGGTTGGGAGAGCTCTGAGATATGCACCAAGTGCCCACACAATTCTGCACTGTATTTGAGGGTCCCCAAAAATACAAGATGTTGAAACTCCAAAGCTGAGTTTGCCCAGGAAGCTGGATCCTTCCATAAGGGCCATAGCCTCAGGGTTATAAACCTCTTTGGCAGAAAGAGCCCTTCCTGCTGGTGTCTAAGCTGAATACGGATGGATCCTAATTGCCCAGAAAGCAGGATGGTACAACAGTGGCCTAGAAATGCCACGTGAGGGAGCAGCTCAGGGTGTTCCTGTTCCCAGGATTCTACTTCTA